CCTAAAAATCAAACACTTATGCTCATCAAAAGACTTCACCAAAAGAGTAAAAAAACAACCTACAGACTGGGAAAAAATTTTTGGCTACGACAAATCTGATCAGCATCTAATCTCTAAAATCTACAAGACACTGCAAAACCTCAACAACAAAAAGACAAATAACCCAATTAAAAAATGGGCAAAGGATATGAATAGGCACCTCACCAAAGAAGATATTCAGGCGCTAACAGACACAAGAAAAAATGCTCACGATCATTAGCCATAAGAAAAATGAGATCAAAACTACAATGAGATATCATCTCACCCCAGCAAGGCTAGCATTAATCCAAAAAATACAAAATAATAAATGTTGGAGAGGTTGTGGAGAGACTGGAACACTTGTACACTGTTGGGAGGAATGTAAAATGGTACAACCACTTTGGAAATTGATTTGGCACTTCTTTAAAAAGCTAGAAATAGAAGTACCATATGATCCAGCTATCCCACGCCTTGGAATATATCCTAGAGAAATAAGAGCCGTCACACAAATAGATATATGCACACCCATGTTCATTGCAGCACTGTTCACAATAGTAAAAAGATGTAAACAACCCAGGTGTCCATCAATGGACGAATGGATAAATAAATTATGGTATATCCACACAATGGAATACTACACAACGATAAAGAACAACGATGAAGCCGTGAAACATAACATGGAGGAATCTGGAGGTCATTATGCTGAGTGAATTTAGTCAGTCACAGAAGGACAAATATTGTATAAGACCACTATTATAGGAACTCAAGAAAAGATTTAAACACAGAAGAAAACATTCTTTGATGGTTAGGAGGGTGGGGAGGGAGGGTGAGGGTTATTTACTAGCTAGATAGTAGATAAGAATGATCTTAGGTGAAGGGAAGGACAGCACACACTACAGGGGAAGTCAAAACTAAAGCTAAGAAGTTTCCTGAATACAATCAAACACTTTGAGGGACAGAGTAGCAGGGGTAGGGATCTGGGGACCATGCTTTCAGGAGACATCTAGGTCAACTGGCATAACAAAGCTTATTAAGAAAATGTTCTGCATCCTACTTTGGTGAGTGGTGTCTGGGGTCTTAAAAGCTTGCGGGCGGCCATCTAAGATGCATCAATTTGTCCCAACCACCAGGAGTAAAGGAGAATGAAGAACACCAAAGACACAAGGAAAGAATTAGCCCAAGAGACAGAAAGGCCCACGTAAACCAGAGACTTCATCAGCCTGAGACCAGAAGAACTAGATGGTGCCCAGCTACCACCAATGACCGCCCTGAACACGACAGAGTCCCGGATGGAGCAGGAGAAAGGTGGGGTGCAGAACTCAAATTCTCGTAAGACCAGACTTAATGGTTTGACTGAGACTGCAGGAACCCCAGAGAGCTTGGCCCCTGGATTCTCTAGCAGCCCAGAACTGAAACAATTTCCAAGGCCAACTCTTCAGACAGGGATTGGACTGGACCGTAGGACATAAAGTGATACTCGTGAGGAGCGTGCCTCTTAGCTCAAGTAGATACAAGAGACCAAACGGGCAGCTTCTGTCCAGAGGTGAGATGGGAAGGCAGAGAGGGTCAGGAGCTGGTTGAATGGACATGGGGAATCAGGGGTGGAAAGGAAGAGTGTGCTGTCACAGTATGGGGAGAGCAATTAGAGTCACATAATGTATGTATAAATTTTTGTACGTGAAAAATTAAAAAATAAAGTAAAAAGAGGCAGAACTAGGACTCACACTTGCATGTTCTGCTTCCAAGTCTGATTCAATTGTTATTTTATCATTCTCACTACACCATTCAAGTCTTTCTTCCTCTTCTCATCCTCTCCTTCTGGCTCTGACTTTTTCTCTGCCCTATAACCATGCCCCATCATATCCGAGCCATTCTTTACAAACTCAGACATATCTGTCCTGCCCCCAGCATGGTGCCCACTCCAAGGTACTTACATGTCTTTAACAACACCTTCCGTACAGCTTCATGGTATTTTAGGTGGCTGTTCTGGTGCACGGAATAATTCCCATCTTCTGAGATAATGGCGGGAAGCCTAGTAGGCTCCTTCTGCTCTGAAATGAGAGCAGACTTGCTCTGAGTATTTGGCAAATGGGATTATAGGATTCTATGATTCCCTGGTCTCCCAAGCCAACCAGGCACATGGCAGAGCTCTCCCCTAGCCACTCACATGCATCCTGTTCTCAGGAGCTCAGGAGTCAAATCAAAAGCCTGTGACAGAGGGGAAGGAGGGAGAGCCCAGTGATCACAAGCCCTCACTCATCCAACTCTTGCTCCTCCCCGACTCCTGAGTTTTCAGGGGCCAACTGCTGGAATCAGGATATTGGCCAGATACACAGGATTGGTGTAGGTAAAAAAGGTCCCTTGGTGGACACTCCTTTCATGGGATCAACATGCAAAGCTTCAACTGGTCTAACAGGGGAAGTTGTTTGAGCTAAGTCTTGGAAGATAAGTAAGAAGGAGTTCATGGGACAGAGTAGTATCAGGAATAACATTTCAGGCACCAGTGTAACTGTGCTAGAAGCATTAGAAAGGCATCAGAGAGCCTGCTATTGACTTGGAGTCCACTGACTTTGGTGAAGTGTAGAGGGGTAGGGGCTGGGGCTGGAAAGGTAGTGCAATGTCTACCTAGCATCTGAACCCCCTTATGACATTTGGGAATCCCCTCTTAAAAGGCAACACCTGTACACTATAGAAGCTGAAAAGACCATCTTTTCCTTACCCAGCCTGTCTTGTACCTTGGGCATGGGCAAAGAGTTTTGACTAGGCCAATCAAACACATCTACTCCAGATTTTGAATAAAAGATGAGGTTGCAAAGCAGCAGGGACCAGGTAAAGTCTTTTTCTAGTGATGGGAAGTGGCAGCAATGAAGTTGCATCTTTTTTCCAGGGCAGCATCAAAAGCCCAGTGTCCCTGGTGCCAGCAGTGCCCACCACAGCACTGAATCAGTAGTGTCTGTGCAGACCAGATCTGTAGCATGATTCTGAGCATTGTTTCTGGTTACTGTCCACCAAGCTCTGTTCTCCATGCCTCGTAGCTTTTATGTATTCCCCAATATACGCCTAATAAATTCATGTTCTGCCTAAACAGGCTAGGTTTAGCTTGTATCTTAGAATCCTGAACAAGAGTGGATGGGTTTGAGAAAAAATTAAAACACAGAAGAGCATGACTTGGTGAGGGGGTGAGAAAAGGAGCTGTCTTGGGTGGCTCTAACATTTCTGTCCGGGGTGACTGGATGGCTGTTCCTTTCAACCATTCATCACTCAAGCCAGAAAGGGGCTAGGCCCCTTGCCCTCTCCTCCAGCCAGTTGCAGATGCAGATTAAAATCCAGCTCTGCAGATGATATTTTCAGTGCCTCCCTTCTGTTTTCATAAAGCAGCAGCTCTGTCCCATTCCCTCAGATTTTTAAAACCAAGATTTTTTCTCTTGGTTACTGATGCTTGTCAGAAATTGAATCAGAGTTTGCCATTCTCTCTGGAAGTTGTTTGTTGAAGAGTGCTGACTCATCTCTGGTGGAGTGGGGGGATGCCACTTCTATTCTGGAGTTCTTCCCCAGCTCCTGCTTGTTCTCCTTCTTCCTGGCTTAGTCCCACTCATTCATCATCTCTATCCTTCCTCCCTCCCTTTTGCCCTCCAATCAACATCTCCTTTAACATTCTCTATCCAGGATAATGACACTACCAGATTGGGCCCTGTTTGAATCCCCACCCATGACAGTTGAGGACTTGGAGGGGTGATGGTATTAAAGCCCTGGTCAGAATATAGGGTTCTGGAAGCGTGGACTGAACCGGAGGGCTGATTTGTACTTTACCACAGGTTATAGCCATGAGGGGCCAGTTCCTGGAAGCAGTGTCATTTGAGCTTGGTCATTTCACTTTGGGCTAGGTGAGGGTGGCAGAATGTTCATGGCCAAATAGATGTAGACCGAAGATAAAGAACAAGAGCATATTCCTACTGGGCAGTGGGACCTGATGTAAAGTAGAATATGTGGAAATTCTAGGAGATAAAAATAGCTAATGTTTACTTATTACTGTTTTTATTGTGCTTTAAGTGAAAGTTTACAATTCAAGTTAGTTTCTCATACAAAAATTTATACACACATTGTTATGTGACCCTAGTTGCTCTCCCTATACCGTGACAGCACGCTCCTTTCCACCCCGGATTTCCCCCGTCCATTCAACCAGCTTCTGACCCTCTCTGCCTTCTCATCTTGCCTCCAGTCAGGAGCTGCCCATTTAGTCTCATGTACCTACTTGAGCTAAGAAGCACACTCTTCACGAGTATCATTTTATGTCCCATCGTCCAGTCTAATCTTTGTCTGAAGGGTTGGCCTTGGGAATGGTTTTAATTTTGGGCTAACAGAGAGTCCAGGGGCCATGTCTCCGGGGTTCCTCCAGTCTCAGTCAAACCATTAAGTCTGGTCTTTTTCCTAGAATTTGGGTTCTGACTCTCCATTTAGGATGATGTTGGCTCTTGGCTTTGTATAAATGGACTTAATTATGTTGAGGAATTTCCCTTCTATTCCTATTTTGTTGAGCGTTTTTATCACGAATGGGTGTTGGACTTTGTCAAATGCCTTTTCTGCATCAATTGATAAGATCATGTGGTTCTTGTCTTTTATTTATGTGATGGATTACATTGATTGTTTTTCTAATGTTGAACCACCCCTGCATACCTGGTATAAATCCCATTTGATTATGGTGAAATATTTTTTTGATATGTTGTTGAAGTCTATTGGCTAGAATTTTGTTGAGGATTTTTGCATCTATGTTCATGAGGGATGTTGGTCTGTAATTTTTTTTTTGTGGTGTCTTTACCTGGTTTTGGTATCAGGGTTATGCTGGCTTCATTGAAGGAGTTTGGGAGTATTCCATCCTTTTCTATGCTCTGAAATACCTTTAGTAGTAGTGGTGTTAACTCTTCTCTGAAAGTTTGGTAGAATTCTCCAGCGAAACCGTCAGGGCCAGGGCTTGTTTTTTTTGGGAGTTTTTAAATTACCTTTTCAATCTTTTCTTTTGTTATAGGTTAATTTAATTGTTCTACTTCTGTATGTGTTAATTTAAGTAGGTAGTGAGTTTCTAGAAATTTGTCCATTTCCTCTAGGTTTTCAAATTTGTTAGAGCACATTTTTCATAATATTCTGTTCTGAATCTTTTAATTTCAGTTGGGTCTTTTGTGGTATCGCCCATCTCATTTCTTATTCAGGTTATTTGCTTCCTCTCCTGTTTTTCTTTTGTCAGTTTGGCCAGTGGTTTCTTACTTGTGTTGATTTTTTCAAAGAACCAGCTTTTGGTCTTGTTAACACTTTCAACAGTTTTTCTATTCTCTATTTCATTTAAGTCTGCTCTAATTCTTACTCTTTCCTTTCTTCTGGTGCCTGAGGGCTTCTTTTGCTGCTCTCTTTCTACTTGTTCCAGTTGTAGGGTTAATGTTTAGATTTTGGCCCTTTCTTCCTTTTTGTGCGTGTGCATTTATTGCTATAAACTGACCTCTGAGCACTGCTTTTGCTGTGTCCCAAAGGTTCTGGTAGGATGTGTTTTCATTCTCATTTGATTCTGTGAATTTCTTTATTCCATCTTTAATTTCTTCTATAACCCAGTAGTTTTTGAGGAAGGTGGTGTTCAGTTTCCATGTATTTGATGTTTTACCTAATGTTTATTGAATATACTTGACACAACCCTGTAAGGTAGGTACTATTATTATCCTTATTTTACAAATAGGGAAACAGAGGCACAGACAAGTTTAGTAGTTTGCCCAAGGTCACATAACTAAGCATCTGGCTGGTCTGAGGTTAGGTGATGGAGAGCTTTTTATCTGGTCCTCAGGCTTCAGACTAAGGATATTTAAGGGTGCAGCCAGCTGATGTTCTCTATGATCTCAGTTTCCAAATAGAAGGTGACCAGCATCCCACAAGGATGGTTACTGTGTGCTTGGAAGTATGTTGGACAGTATCACCCACCTGAAGGTCTTCCTCCTAAATCAAGCACCAGTTGGCATACTCCTTGCATCACTTTTTGGCAAGCTGGAATATATTCTTGATAACTCATAGCTTCCCAAAGCTGCCAAGGTTTGGAAGGCATCTAGGTGAAGGATGGTGGTGGGGGAGGGCAGGTAAAAATCATGCCACAGCTGCCGTAAAAGGGCTTGTTCTGGGTGGAGGGATGCAGTGAATTCTTTATAGGCAAACTCCACTGTACCAAGGTAGATGAATCCATCATTTTGTTGGTACAACGGAGGTTCTTCACCAACCCAGTTAATACCATGATCCGTATGGTTTTTGGTGGTAAATAGATATGAAATGCCCTGTGCAACTTTTCTAGAACTGGGCCATAAATTGGGGGCTGCCATACTAAAGGCCACCTGTAATGCTTTGAATGGACCATGAATAACGTCTGACATGGTGTAAAAGTACTTGAGTGGATCTTCCACCCATCCAACTTAATGGTGTAGGTTTCTTAGTATTATAGGCTTCCCAGGGGGTGGTGACATATTCTTAGTTATCCACTGCTTTGCCCACTGCCTCTGTTTGTTGGAACTGGGGCTGACTAGTGACAGTATTTTTAGGTTGAAGAATTTTTAGAATAGGTCTACTTCATCTGTTTCCAGAATTCTGACTTCCAGTTTAGGGCATCTGCCTGGCAGTTCTGGATGCCTGGAACATAGTGGTGATAATATCAAACGCATATTACTTGCAGTTGTCTTAGGGTTGGTGTTGCTGCAAGCACAGTAATACCACCCTGACTGGACATTCATGCAAGGTCAGCTTGAGAAAAAATGTTATGGTATTGTATATAAAAAATGAGATCATATTAGATGTTGGGCATTAATCCTTGAAGTTGGCTGGAGCATTAAGATGTACTGAAATAGGCTGAAGTACATTTGGAAGGTTTCCTTGTACTTATTGTCTTCCCTGATGCAAGGAAATTGTTAGTACTTTGGGAGGAAGTGGACATGCTAATCAGGAGCATGAGCCCAGGGAACCAGAACAATCTCCAGGGCACATTTTCCATATGGGGACAGTTCCTTTGCCTCCATGTCCAAAAATATCTTCC